TTTGTCCTGTTTCAACGAGATCAGATACGTAATAAAAATGTTCAGGTGTAACGTATGTACTCACGCAATTGACGGACCTGCAGTTTACAGTTAGTGATTATTAAACGAGAAACTTATTTGATTAATTCGTGTAAACAAAATTTTGACATTTCTATGGTATTTCGTATGTACGTACGTCTATTAGGTGACTTTCATATAAATAGCATCACTCCCTCCTTCAAATAACCATACTAATGCAAGATATAAATAAAAAGAAAGCGGGAGTCTTTTTTGGGTCAGATTTATTTTTAAGCTTGTTTATAGAAAAAAAAAGCGACCATCCTGACCAATTCTTCATGCCCGTATTATAAATTCATTCACTCATTTATATCACCATTTCTTACCTAATTCTCACCTCCGCCTTCCTCCGTAAAAATCATTCGTTTTCCCTTCAGATTAGACTATTCCGATTATACGATAAGATTTTAATAGGAACCATCGTCAACAACCCTTTTCTCAAATAATAACGACCACAAGTTGTAAATTCTGAAATCACACGCAGGCATCTGTTCACCTTCTTTAAATTCTCACAATTCCTACTATCATCCGTAACTCTAAATGTCCATCGATTTTACGGCGATATTATTGCGAGACCTGAGCCAACTACTGGAAAAAGGAATCGATTACAACGTGCTGATTCAAGTCGGCGAAGAGCCAAATGTAAAATCATTCAAAGCTCATTCTGGTATACTTCGAGCAAGATGTCCGTATTTCCAGGCCGCATTATCGGAAACTTGGGTAAAGCAAGAGGACGGGATAATATTATTTTCCAAGCCAAACATATCTGCGGAAATATTTGAAATTATACTTAGGTTAGTTGAAAATTATTAACTGAAGTTTTTTTCATGGGAGATTATCCTTTATTCTTGACATTGATTATACATCATAGATACATATACACGGGGAAAATAGCATTAGAACAGCGTGATGGCGCAGATATTTTAGGTTTGCTGATAGCAGCCGACGAATTGATCCTTCACGACCTGTTTGGTAGCATCCAACAACACTTGATCATATATAAATCTCAATGGATGCACGACAATTTCAGCTTGATGCGTAAAACCGTATTTCAAAATGATCGATTAAAAAAGCTACAGGATTTTTGCGTCGATCGAATTTGCAAGAAACCCGAGTTGTTATTCAACTCCGACGATTATGGCTCGGTTAACCTTAATGTTTTACTGAGAGTGCTCCAACGAGATGACCTGCAGTTGGATGAGATTGAAGTTTGGAATTATCTGATACAATGGGGAATCCATCAAACTTCCGTGATAGCGTCACCGAATTCGCCAAAGGACCTCACCGAACTTCCAATATCTGAATGGTCAACCAAACATTTGGCGACACTAAGATCAACAATACAACAATGTGTACCATTGGTTAGGATGTTTCAGATTTCCTCCAAGGATTTTTACAGTAAGGTAATGCCATACCAGAGCGTTCTACCGCCAGCACTCTACGAGGATGTCATGCGATATTACATGGTACCTGATTGTCCACGCCCAACTTCACTGATGCCAGCGAGAAGAGGCGGGGTCGAATCAAATTTGCTTCGAGCAAAACATGTGGCATTGATCTCCAGCTGGATCGATCGTAATGATCTGAATGTTTTCTATAATGCTACAAGCATCCCTTATGAATATAGTAATATTCCCTACGAATTTAAACTACTGCTGCGAGGAAGTAGAGATGGTTTCTCACCACAAGCATTTCATACCAAATGTGATTTCCAAGGCGCTACATTGTTAGTGTTGAAAGTACATGGCACAGGTCATTTGATAGGAGGTTACAATCCTTTGAATTGGGATTCCACGAATAAATGGGACAACACAAAAGATAGTTTTTTGTTCTCACTTGGTGACGGAGAGGACATACGTAACTCCATTCTTTCAAGGATACAGGAATATGACCGAGCCGTGCTTTGTTCACAAGCAATCGGAGCGTGCTTTGGGAGCGGGGATCTGGTGATGGGAGGCACTCATTCGAACTTCAACGTGGAATTGGGATGTTCATGTAAACGACAATCTTACGAAAGACCAGTGTTGAATGCTAACCATGATCGGTTTAGTGTTGATGAGTATGAGGTATTTAAGATCATACCCAAGTTCGGTGAGGGCATGGCAATGATGAGACCAGATCCCACCAGAAATGCACCAAGCAGCAGTAAGAGTAGTAGTAGTACCAATAGCAGCAGTAGCAG